AAGCTTGTGAAGATTGTAAAGGGAGGGGACACAGGCTCCTTACAATTTCCCATTCCCACATCAAGAAATTGTTTTACTAAGTGTGCCATTCTGGCTGCCCAGAAGAAATAGTTTAAGACAGTAAGAATGTAACAAGAGTTCCTGAAACGCACCAACTTTTCCAGCGCAAAGCAATAGCTGTGTGCCCTCTTCCAGGCTTTAGCTGTTATTGCAGTAGCCTCCCCAGAACGTTCCCCTCTGCATCGTCTGCACCAGCTCATCGCCTACTTCAGTTGTGACTTAAAGCTGGCAGAACAGCTTTTAAAAGATGAAGGAAACTGAAGGAGCTTTCCACGCTGCTTCACACCCCCTCCCCCCAGCACTGAAGGCAGAGGTCTCCGATGATTGCTGCAGTTTGCATTTGGATTTGACTTACATAGATTGGCCATTTCCTGCTCCTGCAGGTGTATATATTTATCCAAGATCTGGAGAAAACACTGCTTTTATTAAGTCACATAAATGCTCACACTAGTTTTTAAATACTCAAAGAAAATAAAGTCACCCACTAATTAATCTATTTTTCTGGACTGGAGAAGATCCCACAGTGCCAGTGGGCAAGGCAGGATGGGAGATGGGGGAGAGAAAACAGGCAGCAGAACGTTTCTGTATTTTGACAACAGCTATTAATGTATTACAAAGAGCACACTGTCAAGCTATTTAGGTTGCAACTTTTAACTTGCCCTTTAAAATTCCTTTGTAACAAAGAGGAAATAAGTTTAGCCCAGCTGCAACATTATTCCTTTCTTTCAGGCTTTAAATAAAGAACCACCTTGCAATGAGCTCTCTGGCTCTCCAATTTCTCCAGTCCAAGGTGGTCCAGAAGGCAGGCACTGGCTGAAGGCTCACAGCACCCTCTTCTATTTCTGGCTCTGACACTGACCTGCTGCACAGAGGGCAGCTTGGTTCACATCTCTGTGCCTTGCTGCCCTCCCAGCCCTTGTTTACTCTGTCTATTTAGGCAGCAAGCTCTTCAGGGCAGAGACTGCTCTTGCTGCGCCTGTACAACAGCTGGCAAAACAGACACAGGCTACCAGACACAACTGTAAAATCACTATACTCACCAGAAACCCCAGAGGCCTTGCGCTACTGCTCAGCTATGGTTTAGCTGCAAAAAGAATTATTAAGCCATATTCTTCTGTGAAACGTTGCCATGCATTTCTGGAAGAAAAATGCTCCATTCACCTTACGTCATAAAGACGGGTCTTGACTCCTGCCTGAGCAGCTCCTGTGACTGAGTGGAGCAAAACTCCTCTGTGCAGGGACTATCTTCTTACCATGCCCACAACAAGGCCTTATTGCAGTACAGGTCTACACATAAAATTAACATGACTGCGCAGAGCAAAAGGCAGCCTGACATAGAGACAGGCGCCAAGAACCGCATGCAGCCCAAGACTTCCAAAACGGTAACACAATATTCTAGTAAGCATTTACTTACTACGGATTCAAAGAAGAAAAAGTATGTTTTTAACACCAAGAACGTACTTAAGAACCTTTCCAAGTCAGGCCCTGCTGTCCCTAATATACACTCACTCATCTGATGCAGATCTAGTGGTTCCCCTGCTGAGGAACGAAGATGATGGAAACATGGCACCAGGCAAACTTCGTTCTTCTTTGTGTGCGCATGATTGAAACAACACCTAAATACTCCACTGCACACACAGCTCCTCATTAGCTGAATCTATCAGAAAGGGCAAACAGGAGAGGCTTGTCAATGATGTGAAAATGCTTTTCAACATAACAACTCATGCCTAGGATTAAGTTCATATCTTCTTTTGACAACATTAGCCAATCAACTGAACGCTGTTTAAGCCTGAGTATATGTGCCCAAATAAAAATAGCTGGTAGAAGTGGATAGCCAAGATGGCAAGAGGGTAACTTTAAAAGTTAAGTCAAATTGTTTTAGGTACTACATTTTTTCTTTCCCTTGCTGCTCTACAGCTAGGGTTTTGCAATCAGTTTCTAATTAATATTCTCTCTTCTCTAATTGGGCATGAAAAATTTGTATAAGCAAGCTCACTGTGTGAACATTTGTTCCACATACAAGCTAAAGCCTGTTCCCTCAGATCTTCTTGTTACAATTACCTGAAGATATACCTAACAGAAACAACATTTTAAAGAAACGGTGTCATTTTCAAGTTAATCAGCCTTTAAAAAATGGGAAAGTGGAGGAGGGGGGATAAGTTTCACAGCTATCTTACACTCTAAGCTCAAATTTATCTCTATTTACAAAGCATTAACAGATGGCTTATCAAAAGCCATTTAACAGCAGAAATGATCAAACTAGTTCTGAGATGTTTTTTTGTTTTAAGCAGTAAGAACTCCCTAGACTAGTTTTTAACTTATGCCAGCCTCTCAGGGACCATCAGTCTAAGATCTAATGTTAGAACCATGCACGTTATTTCATTAAGTACATTTACCACAAACGGTTCCAGCCTTTGCTTTCTCAATTGCAGACAGAATTGCACAAATACTTCTTGAAAGTAAAAAACAGTGTTCACTTCATGCAATGCTATCCAGAACGTGCAACAGAAGCCCCAGCCCTCAAGCAAGCCAAGCATGACATACTCGAGGTTGACTCCATATGATTAAGAAAGCACAGTTGTCAAGAAGGTCCAACTACCATCATCTTCACCATCATTCTATTTACTAATGATATTCTAGCTCAAATTTAATCTCCAATGAGCAACCTACCAGTTTCTTACCCAGAATTACCATCAGGAAGAAAGGCAATGTGCCTAGAAGCTTACCTAACTCTCCTCCCCAGCTTGTATTGCCTGGTCAAATAAAGTATAACCTTTCTCCTCAAATCTTCACCCTTCAACTGCAATAAGAGCAACACTGGAGATTGCTCTTGATCTTGGAGACACGCGTGAGGCACAGGCAATATAAAAAAGACATGGCTATTTAAAACCCTCAAGCTGCTACACAGGCTATTAAACTCTTCATCAAGCACAAACTTCATAACTGTACCACAACCCAACACGTGCATTCACTGTGATTCTTTTGGAGCTGTACACATACCCAGACCCCTCCACACACCAAAGTACGCTCTTGTCTTTTATCTGTTGCCAGAACTGTCAAACTCACTGGAGCAAGACTCTTGAAACTGCCCCCAGATGCTGGATGTCCACACAGGGAATACAAGCGTTTGGCTTTCAGGTATTGCCCAAAAGAACTGGCACAGTGTCTACTTCAAAGAACTGAAGATTGCATGAGTCTTTCATGAAGTTAAAAGTAACAACAGGATTCATTCTCTGGGATATCTCTCAGATCCTTCGTGACCAGACTGTAGTTCCACAGTGCATTGCTGGTGATCAAACTCCCTTGGACCAAGGCAGCACCAACCAATGCTAAAAGCAGTGCTCCGTACTAGAGTTTAAAGACAATTTGCAAGTAGGGCTCAGCACAAAAGCACACCCTAGAATAACTAACAAAACAAAACAAAAAACTAACCAAAGCAACTCTGTGTTCCCACAGTGAGTCTAACGGCACTGAAATCCCTGGGAGCTCATGACACATAAGTACCCTTCCCTTCACTTAAACCCTCTGACCTAACAGACTTCTTCTGTAGCTGTTTATAGACCCACATTCCTCTGCAGGGGGAAGTGGTGGTCCTTACATGTGCTGCACCTGCTCTGCTGTACACCTGATCCCTCCAGCAACCGAAGCAGCATAGTATCACCTTATTCTTAATGAAAAATACAGAACTTCATTTCCTCAGGAGACAAAATCATATATCATGGTGGATGGAGTCCTACGCACAGCCATTCTGCAGCACTTACTCCTGCTTGCCTCCTAGGGAACTGTGGTTAACTTTCCAAGTCCGGTCTTTGGCTGCAGCGTCCCTTGGCTGCAGGCCTAAATCTACAAAAACTGAACGGGTTAAAATCCTGGCCTGAAAACCCAACAGAGATTTTCAGCACCACTGAAGTCCTGCTCCAAAGAGCAAGGGCCACAGCTGCTTCTCTCCGCCTGTATTACTGACAAGATAGCACTATGAGACATTGAAACAGGTCTCAGACATCCTTTATGATAAATGTCAACAAAGTTCTGGACCTCAGGCTGGCAGCTATAGGGAAACACAGGAAGGGATTCATAGATCCTTAAGCACATGGACTCCCTTTTGGGATCCCTGAGGTAGCAAGGGAAGCCCACGAGGTGTGGATGCCTCCGAGTGGCTTTCTGCACGCCAGCAAAGGGGAGAGAGGAAACACAACCTGTGGGTTCTTACCAAGTGCCATCAAGGCCCAAAGCCCAAAAGCACCTCCAGAAAGATGCTGGTGCCACACAGAGCAAAGCTACCAAGCCTTGCACTTCTAATAGCACATCTAGGCTCATTCTCCAGGCCTTTCCTCAGCTGCCAGTTCAGATTCTGCTCCCTCTCAGCTACTTTTCCAAGGTCTTTGAGGCCTCGGCAGCCACAGGCAAGGCAGTGCGGCTCAGGAGCTGTGAGGGAGAGCCCACCTCCCCCGGCTCAGAGCTCTCGAGCTCAGACACTGCTTTGTGCAGGGGGGGGCCTCCGGGGAGCCGAGCTCATCTGGAGAGGCCCTTGAGCTCCAGTACCTGCGGGCCGCTCCTGCCGGACCTGGTGCTTAGCGAGCCCTCGCCACGCTCTCGCGGCAGCAGGAAGCGCTGCCCCCCACACGGCAGCCCTGCCGGCGCATCCAGGCCCAGAACCCGCCGCCGCTTGCAGTCCCTCCCCTGGCAGGGCGGCCCCGCCGCTTCCCCCGCGCTCGCCGCCCCTCTCGGAGCAGCGACGGCGCAGCCGCGCTTCGAGAATAGCGCCCCTCTTCCCTCCGCCCCCTTACGGCAGCGGGGAGCCCCCCTTAGCGACTACGCCAGGAGCGCAGCACGCCCCTTAGCAACCAGCTAGGCCGCGGCATCCCCGGCCTTTCCTAGTCGCCGCGGCCGCCTCCCCCCCGCCCTTCCACCGCGGAGGCCGAGCTTACAGGTCGGTGCCGAGCTGGGTGAAGCCGGAATTGAGGCACCCGCGGGCTATGCGCTTCCAGAGGAGATCGCGGCTACTGAGGAAGCGCAGGCGGCGGCAGACCTGGCTCAGGCGGCCCAAGGCCTGCACGTCCAGGTAGGAGCAGATGAGGAGCAGCAGCTCCTCGGGTAAGGCCCAGAGCGGGGAGGAGGGGGAGAAGGAGGAAGGGCAGGAGGGGGGGGAGGCGGCCCGGGATCCCCCCTCCGCCCGGGGGGATCGGGGGCTGCTCTTCCTCCCCATGGAGCAGCAGCTCCTGCCCCTCCTCCCCGGGAGCCGGAGCTGCTGCTGCCCGGGGGAGGCCAAGCCATGGACGGGGGCAGCCGCTCCCCAGTCACATGGGGCAGGAGCCGCTGCCTGTCACTGCCCCCCTCCGGGGGAGGAGGCGGCGGCGGGCGGGGGGGGAACAATTAGGAAATTAATTCATTAACGGGAAGTACCGGGGATACCCCCACCTCGATCCGCCACGAAACAGCCCCCCCGGCCCATGCATAGGTTATTATTCTTCGTAGCTGAGATTAATAACATCACCTTATCGACGCATTCGTTAATAACGTGAATAATTAACGGCCAGAATGGTGATCGTGAGTAACCGGAGCATCTGCTCCACCACCTGGCTGGGCGCTGCACTCCTGCAAAGGAAGGTGAACAGCAGGGTGGTTACTGCTCATTAATTACCCTTGAGCAGAGTCAGGAGTTCTTGTCACCCACCAGATGACAGCAGGGGTCGTCTGGTGTTACACTGCAGTTCTGGACTCCTAGATTCCCTGAGCCATTTAAAGTAAAGGGTCTTCCTTATGAAAGAAAGGCCCCTGCTGCAGAGGATTTAAGGCTGGCTGGTCTCTCAGACTATTTGGTACCATCTATTCCATGGAGCAGGGCGTGAAAAAGTGCTCACGCTTCGTACATGTATGTGCATACATGTATGTGCATTGCTGCAAAGAACGGTTCATAATAACTGAGTCATTGTTGCCATCCACAGGAGCCTGGAGTACTGACAACACAGGAGGATCCTGGTCCAAAATGGCAAAGTAGCCCTCCACAGACAGTGGAGCAGGAAAATATGAGTACAGTGTTGTTTTATTCTTTCTTACAGTATTTTCCACTCTACAGAAGCCTGAAATGCTCAAGGAAACTTCTGCCTCAGAATTAAAAAATATATGAATTATGAAAAGTAAATCATCTACCTAGAATTCTTTGTATAGACATCATTTACCAACCTCAAATTGCAGGTCCTTTTGCACTGTAGAACTGGAAAATAAATTTCAGCATTTAATGAGGTTACCATAGCAGACAGGCCTTTTAGACTTACTTGCATCCTGTTCCAGGAGGTCATCTCATCTGTTTAATCTCAAGCACTCAAATATTCATTTATCTAAATCAGCTCTGGAGGCCTTGTATTTGAAAGGTTCAAAACTGCCAGCTGAGGAGCTGTCTGGTCCACTTACACTGAGTTTCAATGCACCCTGGAAGTCAAGGAGATTCTAAAGGATCAGAAGACAGCAAATATTTTATCAACGTTTATAATGAGTGAATCAGATGGCCAGAGCAATTAAAAATTTCAGCACCTCAGATTAAGTTCAGATAAAATAACAGCACATCTGGTACAGGACTGAAGCGGCCAGTTGAAAGGGAGGCAATATAACAAACGTTACTTAACAAAAGATTATGGAGAATTGATGTGAATTCTGTGTCTCTTTGATGACATTAATCTTAAACATGTAACTATAATCAGCTCTTTTGTAATAGACTTTGGCAGTCTGAAACATTAAATTTATTAAAAGCTGACTGACTCCTCTGTCGTAAATTGTTATTATAAAGAGAAGTTTATTATCAAGTTGGTCTTTCTCTGGTAGGATTCCACAGAGACAGCATATGGATCCTACATTTTTGGATGTTTTTATTAGTGACCTGAAAAAAAATCTGAAGTCATTATTAGCAAAGTCTTTAGAAGGCATAAAGCCTCGGGGAAGAGGCCACTGGTGCTTATGGCTGCGTAACCTTATGTTATGTTTAGGCATAATCAACTCATACGTATTTCAATCAAGTCAAATGTAAAGTCTCACATCCAGGAACAAAGAATGTAGGTCACACTGAAAGGATGTAACTCTATCCTGCAAAGCTGCAATTCCGTAAAGACTTCATTAAGATGAATAATCATCTAAACGTGAGCTCTTTCTGCAGTGCAAAGGGCTGGGAAACAAACAAGAGCCAGGAGGTTGTTTCACTTCTGGTTTTGACTCTGTTGTGACGGCTTTGGAAATAATTTGTCCAGCCAACATTTCAAAAAGGATGTTGAAAAACTAGTGGATTTTCTAAGAAGAGCAGTAAGAAGGATTGCAGGGCTGTCAAACATGTTTTATAGTGAGAACCAAAGTGCTCAGTCTGTTCAGCTTTCTAAAGAGGGTAAGGTGTGAGGGGATCATACCTTGTGGGCACTGAAACAGGAAATAAAATCTGGTGATACCAGGATCTTCAGTTTAGCAGACAGAGTGATAAGATCACTTAACAGAAAGTGATGGGAAACATATTTATAAATATATTTTTGTTGGGAAGCTATTTTAAACAATATCAGAATTTTTCCCCCTTGAGCAAGACTGACTAGCCTACAGCAACTAAATCTTTAAGCCAGGAATTGATCTAGCGACTCCTAACTTGGTATATCAGATCAGTCAGAGGGGCCCCTACTTGTTTTAGGCTCTGTTAATATGCAAGTGCTTCATCTGCCACGTCTGACATCTCCTTGCACATTATGACACCCTTATCCCAATGTGCAGGAGCCTTGTTTGTGCCCGAGTCCTTCACCAAGGTGCACGTTGGAAGGGGACTGTTCAAAGTGCCACGTGCAGTGTAGCATGTAGCAATGGCAGATCCAAAATACTGAGAAGTACATACACAAAATAGGGTCTGACTTAGCGCTCTCCAGTTTGTGTCCCAAGATATAAGTAACTGTGGAAGATTTGGCTAAGATGAAATATGTTTACAAGCAGTGATCATACAGAAGGTCAAATAGCATCCCAATAGGTGTCACAAAAAATGTTACGAAGAAACCAATGATATGTTGCTCTTAAAAGTAATATTGTTTTGTAGTGTGGATAGTTGCCTTACAACAGTAATTTAGCCCAAACACTGTGATCTGTTACTTTCTTTCTCTGCAAGAGGAACAGACCTACAAGCACATACGCTGCTCAGATGTGGTTTCAGCAGATGTGACTGCTGTGGAGCTGTCAGTGCTGCTCATCGAAGGCTGAGATGGCCCTTGTCTTCTCAGCAGAGCTGAACAAAGTGCATAGGTAGCTGTCTGCAAGAGCAAGAAGCAAAGAAGTTTTGGGAGCATTTCTAAAACGGTACGTGTAACGTGATTATTTCCATACAATGGTCATACTCTAATAATGAAGTCAGTGCAGGTGCCCAGTGCAGGATAAGTCAATAAATAACACAGCCTTCACAAATCTTACAAAGATTCCGGTCCTTTCATGGCTCATGACCTCCCTGCACCTCTAGAAAATAGTGTGTGGTTCCGTGCTGAAGCAGCAGATCATTCCAGCATCATAGCTTGCAGGATTTGTAAACTGAAAACGAGGGCTGACACCTGTAAAGCTTATGCTTCAACAGTGCAAGTCAATGAAATCCAGCTCGGAAGAAATTCCATTTCAATACCTGCCTGTCTTTTCTTCTTTTTTTCTTTCTTCTTTTCCTGTCTTCAAGGGGTTTTATTCTTCTTTGCAGTGCCCTCAAATACACCTTTCCAGCTAAAGACACAATCATGTGGACAGCTCTTTGTTTTGTTTTTCCTTCCAACCAATGCTTTTGTGTATTTCTGAAACTTAAGACACCTCCTCTGCTACTACAGTACTTATCTGTAACACCATCGCTTTGAGGGATTAAAGCAGGTTACTTGTTACACACTTAGATCAAGAGTTATCTGAGTAGAAAGTCTATCCCGTTCAGGTTGGCGGAATCCGTTTTTGATCTTGAGTTGTTTTGATTTTCTCTGAGAGCAAGTAACATGTTATTTTAACTTCTGAATAAGGTGTGCTACCTGACTGTGTCTCTTCTGTTTGGCAGAAAGGATTAGAAACCTCCACGGAACTTGCACTCTATTAAAGCAGAGTGCTCGCCATTGAGAACCGAGGAGCTGAATTGTTTTCAGATTATATGTGTGTGTGTGTCTTTCCCACATCAAAGACTTTGATGGAAGCTGTTCACGCTATTGTCAGGAATGCAGGGATTGGCACAAAGGTGATTAGCAGAATTGCTTTTCTGCAGTAGAAGCACAAAAAAATATCAAAGGATTAAAGAGGATAAAATTAAAAGGTTATGCTGAATTTAAGAGTGAATTTTCTTCTTTTTTTCCCCCGGTTTATACGTATCGATTTGGTTTTACCTATAAAAAGGCTGCCAGAAGAAATCAGAACTAGAAACTATTTGGTATGAGTTCTGTAAAAGGACGAGGAAAAATCTTCCCTTAACAATAATCCCAACAGACCCTATGCTGTGTAGTTCCAAACCACAGCTACAGGGAGCTCTCAGTGAGAGCGAAGGGCGCGCAGCCAGCAGCCATCCCTACGAGGTACTCAGCAGCCGCAGGACCGGGACCTTTATTCGTAGCCATGCTGAAAATTATGAAAACAAACAATTCCATAAATCAGTTTGTCAGCGGTGATGCTGTGTGTTTACTTTTCTCACTGCACTCTGCTGACAGAGATACTAAACCAAGGGGGTCGCTCTCATTATCCACTTACCAGGCACATGCAACGCTTTTGTATTTTCATCAGCAGCCAAGCCGCTTCGATGGCTTGAAAAATAAGACAATGAGAATAGACTGTCAAATATTTTCGTGTATCAAATTCAACAGTTGACTGTTATGGAAGTTCTCTTCAATTGCAGTGCAGCTAAAAAAAAAAAGTATCACCTCCCCAAGCCAGCAGAATTGCGTCATTTTAGACTCTGTTGTTCATTTGATTTTGAACAGTCTTCTATCAGCTTTTTCTAAGTACCAACCCTACACCTATTTCTTGTCATTGCATTTTGAGTTTGGTTTGTTTGTTTTGCCAGTCTGCTATTTTCTGAAAGTCACCCGGATTATTTTATTTGTTTTTAACCTCATTTATCAAAGTATTATCTGAAGCATCTGTTCGGAAAATGTTCATTTTAACTGTTTTCCCAACAATGACCTTCTTCCTACCCCTGAGGCCACATCAAGTTGTCACTCACCAGACAGCTGTGGAATTTGGAATCATTCCTTTTAAATGCTTTACAATTCCAAATGGTAGATTTGTAGTGGCACAATATGATTGCCACAAAGATCTTTAAATTTCCCAATCCTCCCGGCTTCAAAGGCTGGACCGTCCTTGATCTCCTGAAGGAATGCTTTTGAATCTTGTGCTTTTATAGGGGCTACCTATGAAGATATTTTAGGGGCTTTTTCCTTTCATACTTAGAGTCTAAAGAACTAAACATCCAAATTCCCGTTGGCTTCTTTGAGAGTAAGAACAAGACTTACAACTAGCAATTTTCAACTCAGTTTTCATTAATTCCACGGGTCGTTCCAAAACATTTTGGAGTGTTCAGTGAGCAGTCTAAGAGTAACCTTGCTCTAACAGTGGCAATGGCACTGTTTTATTCTGCATGTTCCTTCCACCTATGTGGCTTGACCCAGACCCTGTCCATGGGTAAGTCTGGTGGTATCCCAGCTCTTTGTGCCCATGGTCACAGAGGGGTCCCTTGGAGGGTGTTCTGCTACCGTACCTGAAGCTTTGCTTATGGAGTAAGATAAGGTATGTGGGTGAACCTAATCCTACAAGCAGCTTTGGGTCTGCCTGGAGCAGACAACCAAGACAGAGTCTAATTACTTGCAACAATTACAAATTTGCAGAATTACAGGATGCGACCTCTGCTGTGGCCTCAGACCCTCAGATCCCATTGTAAGCAGCAACCAAGGCACTGCTGTAAGTTTGGGTATCCAATATTGCTAATGCTGACAATTTCCAAACAGTCCACAGCCTAACCTCAGGTTTTGTGACAACAAACTGCAGGAGCAACTAATTACTAACCCAGTTTATGGGTCAGGGAACAGGCTTAGATCCTCATTTACACAGGTTTCTTATGATCATGTAAGCCCTACCTCTCCACCACTATTTTTGTTTGTTTATTTAGATCAGTTTAAAAAAAAATCCCACATCCCAAAATAGAGAATGTTTTCCTTTGGAACAGGAAGAAAACACACTTGATGGCTATAACATCTGCTGGACCATGCGTGGATGGTGGTGGGCACCTCACACAGCCCTGTGACAAGCACATGTGCGTACAGCGTGTCAGATTATAAATCCAAGAATAAAGAGTCATGAAAACCTCCCTTCTCCAGCCCACCTGCCACGAAAGCGGGCCTTTCACTGAAAACGAGGATTGGGAAAGAAAATGCCGACATTCCTGGGATTCTAGTCCAAATCTCTGCCTCCGATAGAGGAGGGCTGTCAATGGAACACACACCGATTCACTGTCCCTATCCCATCAGGACACACAAGCCACCCTGTGCACAGTAACGTTTGCATTCATCACTGGCTTGATCTGAAATTCTGCGGAATTCTCAAACATTTTACTTTTGTGTTGTGTTCGTGCCTGGCAAAATATGGGCTGAAGGTTCCAGCAGGATGATCTTGCTGCTCGACAGCCCCACCAGGGTGCAAACCTTTCTGCTCTCAGAATGGAGGAAAGGAGAAGCCATATGCACTGCGGATCAGCTCTGCCAGGATCACCTGAGTGCCACAAGCGACAAATTTGGTCCTATTCTTTCAAATGAGTAGGAGAGGCTCTCAGCATGAGCCTCCAGCGGGAGCCATGCAGACCTGTGCTGCCGTGTGCCTATTTTGCACCACTCATCTGCACCCAGCAGGTGCCTGCAGTGCAGGTGTGAGCGCAAGCTCAGACAAAGATTCAAATACCAGAGCCTTTCAGCCTGAACCTGACACTGCCACTTTAAAACCAGAGACGCTGACATCAAAGTTTTCCACTCCCCAGAAGGAATGGACTATTTTCACCCTTCCAAATGATGTCTCTCATCTCTCTCCCTTTCCTACAGCCCCGTCTCTCTCTCTCACACACTTTTTCTAATGCCATCCCTCCCTCTCCACTTCAAACCATGGGAAAAACCCAGGAAAAGAAGCCTGCCGACTCAGGGAGCGTTTCGATGCATTGTGTTTTCCAGCTAGACCTGAACAGACTGAAATCAATTCAGCTCCCGCTCGCTCGCACTCTCCCTCCCTCTCCCATGTCCCTTTTTGTTTCTGCCTTAAGAAAGCCCGGTTTGGTTGTACCCATCCCCATAGCAATCAAGTGACCGGCGGGTTTTATTGCTTGTAAAAACACCGTATCTTTTTCATGGGAGTCGGGTTCTCCTTTGGGTTGCAATGCCCAGTGAGCAGTGGCAACAGCCTGCCGAATCTTTGATCAATTCTCACGTATCCATCTGAAGTACCCTTAGTAGACCCGTCAGAAGAAAGGAGCTCGGTAATTAGTATTTTAAGATAGTATATCAGCCTCTTGTTGTATTGCTGGCGTGGGGTTTGTTTTAACAGAAGTGCGCAGAAATACCCGTATCTGACCCAAATGGCTACGTGCTCTACGAAATACACATTATTAAAGCAGAAGTCCAGCTGCTGCTGCATTAATATCCTCTGATTTTTATGTGCTCCTACCTTTTGGAAGGTTTCGGTTTTCATCCTGAAATTTTCCAGGCTTGCTCCCAACGCCGAGGTTATAACGGCAGGATGGGAACCAGAGCAGAATGCAAGGAGGTTCTCTGGAAACTTGACGAGGCGAGATCCAGCTGAGCAGAGCCAGCGGGACCAGCAGCAGGGCGAAGTGACGTGGAAACAACCAGGGTGACCATGTCACTTACATTTCCATCAACCACCTGCTGACAAAGGGACAGAATTAAGGTGTGTGTACAGCCTGGCTTAGTTATGCCCCCCGACCTTTGGAATAGTTATGCAGTTAATATTCCCTTAACATCATTTTTTTTCTTTCCCTGAGTTATGCAAAGTCTCAGAGTCAGAGGAGAGGTTGCTATAAACAACACAACAAAATTACACAGTTTTGCATCAAAACAGATTACCCAAGACATCGTCCACATGGCCTATCCATAGCTTCCGTAATACAGAAAGCCCTTCAACCAAGGCTGACCCCAGAACAGAGATGCCCCACATCTAGAATCAGATTTTACTCACGGAGATCATCCAGATGGTCATGGCATGGACCCGTATCATCGAATCACAGGATGGCTCACACTGGAAGGGACCTTAAAGCCCATCCAGTTCCAATCCCAGTGGTGGGCTGGGTGTCACTCACCAGATCAAGGCCCAGGGCCCCATCCAATCTGGTCTTGAGCACCTTCAGGGATAGGGCACCCACAATTGTCTGGGAATGCCAAGTGCTTCTTCTCAACCCCAGTTGGCTCCAGTTGACCACAAAATGGTGGAAGGAGGGGGTCTCAATGTGCTTTAATGATCAAAGCCAGCACTGGAGATACCTGCTCTCAGCAAGGCGCTCCATTTGGGCAGTGCCATCCATCACCCAGACCTAGGTTGGGTTTGGTTCTCCATATAAGAAGTGGGTACCTGCAGGTTCCAGTTGGAACAATTCTAAATAAATTACTATTTTCAGCCAGCTGCACAGCTGTTCAGAGCTGTGTTTCAGGAGAATAAGTGATTAATTATGACCCATCTTTTGTGCAGTGCAGACTTTTCGGTAAAGGAATGGAAGAGCTCAAGCGTTCGGGTCAGCAGTAATTTCGTTTGGCTTATACACATCACTATGGAGTGAGGATGTGGATGTGCCTATAAATAGTCTGTGTATTTAATAAGCAATGCAATGTGTAAACACAATTTGCCAATTACTTTTTCTATAAATGAATATGTGCCAAGCAGCATATGTTATAAGAATGACAAAATGTGATGATTTTTTCTGACTATTCCAACTGCTTATTTTATGTAATGCAAGGTTAGAATCCAAATATAGGCTGCTTCCTACACTTGTAGGTGCTGGAACTGCCCAGTATCTCCTGTTGCCTTATTCCACAGTTGCTGAACTTTCCTAGCCTGCAAATAATTGCCATGATTGAATGCAAATGGCATCTCTTGGGACTCCTGCAATAGGTTCTGCAAGAATGCAGCTCCCCTGGAAGCAGCCAAGAGGGATCCACTTCCCTGCACATCTTAAAGCATTATTTGGGGAAACCTCTTTCTTTCCATCAAAACTCTGTAACGTCCCTGTGAACCATTGGAAGAGGATTGTAAAGAGCGTATGGACTCCAAGAAGAAAAAAAAA